CTCAAACAGATATGGGAATAAATCTCTAATAGTAATAGAAATTTTAGAAGATGTGGAGAAATTACCACCTGTGAAAGGAAACCAACCAAGATAAGTAATTGACTTGATCCAGGTGGTGGAAAAGGCACTGACAGATCTCACTGGGAAACACTGGTGCACTTAAAAACCCACTAATGATAAAAACAATAGAAATCAAACTTCTAGACTTTGTGAAGAGGGACTGGCTCATCTTCATGATGGATCCGAGTAACAATGTAACAACGGACAACCATTTTGACATGCTTCTAAACTTCCTACAAAAGCAGGAAGATATACAGAAGATAGCTGATAAGCCAGATCATTACCCAGTCAAGAGACCAGAGAAGAAGTTTGCCTCCACAAAAACCACAAAAAGTGAGCCTGAAAATGGGTGTGGTGTGGGGGAAGAGAGACATTATAATAAACTTTTCTTCTGTAGAAAGTTTAAGGCTCTGAGTGTTCCAGAGAAGAAAGCCACTTTAAAGAGACTAGGGTCATGCATGAAATGTCTCTGCTGGCATTCTGATGGGGGAAGCTGTAAAGATACATGTACATACCTCTGCAGGAATAAAGAGTGCAAAAAGGGAGGCTCAGCTGGCTACTTCCTCTGCCCCAAAAACACCAAAGTGGATGATGAGGCCTTATGAAAAAGTACTCCAAGTAAGACCAAACTGACAGTTGACCAAGAAAATTTCTTGTCTGCATTGTCTCCAGAAATGGCAGAGAGGTGCAGGAAGGCCTTCACAAATGGAAATACCCGAGCAGGTAACTCGATCAAAGCTCCATCTCACCTACTTGAAAAGCATGGACTGTCCGAGCTGCCAGACATTCTGATGTTATTGGAGGTAACAGTTAATGCAGGTCAGAAGATTGGAACACTTATAGACCTGGCATCTGACACAAATTACATCACACACAAACTGCTGACCGTCTAGGACTGCGCAGTGAGGAAATGACTCTAGTGTTATATGGTGTGGGTGGAATGTCCATGAGAGTGAACACAAAGAGATACCTCCTCAGAGTCCACATGCAAACGCCTATGGATAAGTCACATATCTCCAAATAAATTGTAATTATACAGTGATTTTTCTGGTTAGATATTCATGAGTCTAACAGCTTCAGGGTAGAAGCTGTTCCTCAGCTAGTGGTTCTACACTTAATGCTCCTCAACCTTCTGCCTGAGGGAAGCGGGGCAAAATGTGTGTGCTGGGTGAGTGGGGTCCTTCATGATGCAGGTGGCCCTCTTCTTCTTCAACAACAGGATAAATGTTTATAACCAGCCTAAACTGTTTGACTGAATAAATCTTACTGGAATGTTATGTTTAATTATACTTCACATCTCACATGTAATAAAAACTTTTAAGTTAATTTATGATGAAAACAAGTTCAAGCTGTTCATTCATTCAATCTTTATTTATACAGGTTAGTCTCATTGAGTAATGAGGACTCATTTACAAGAGAGACCTGTTTTAAACAAAGACCATAAATGAGATACACACAACAAGAAACATTCATATGAAAGCATATACAATGAAAAGTATATAAGTGAAATATAAAAAAGCAAGCTACATTATAAAATGCTGCAAAATACTAAAAACAGGAACACGTCTGCATTGAATTTTGCATTGAACAGTTGTTTAAAATCTCTTAGAGGTCAAGGTCGAGAGCTTCAGGTCTTTTTGCAAGTTATTCCAGGAAACAGGAGTGAAGTAGGAGAAGGTCCTTTTGCCAAATTTAGTCATCTTGCGAGCGCACGCTGTAACTGCACTGTATGGATAAGCAATGTAAGATAATCAGCAGCTGAAAGAAGTTGAAGCACGAGTAACTTTTTTCAGTCGTGTCAATCATTTGAAACTACTGACACCCTACTGTGGTTTTAAAATTAAAATTTTATATATGAAGCTCAAGAACTTTATATTACTCATCTTTAATAGAGGAGAATAAAATAACCCTAGGTTTCTGTTTAGTACTATTGCTAGACTAATTAAAAGTCCCATTTCTGTTGAACCATGTGTCCCTACAACTATAAGTAGTGATGACTTCATGAGATTCTTTATAAATAAAATTATTTCAATTAGAGAGAAAATTCAAACCATCCTTCCTTCTACTATCTCTAGTCCCCTGTCAAATGAGGCAACTTTAAATATTTCACTAGAGCCTGATTTATGTTTGGACAGTTTTTGTCCTGTTGAGCTCTGAATTGTCAAAAATAATAACCTCATCCAAACCATCCACATGCCTGCTAGATCCCATCCCAACCAGACTGTTTAAAGAGGTATTTCCCCTAATTAATGTCCACATTTTGGATCTACTTAATTTGTCTTTAATGGATGGTTATGTACCACAGCGCTTTAAGGTTGCTGTAATTAAACCTTTACTTAAGAAGTCTGATCTTGATTCAGAAATTCTGGCCAACTATAGACCTATATCTAATCTAACTTTCATCTCAAAAATTCTAGAGAAAATAGTTGCAGGTCAGTTGCGTGAACATCTACAAAGAAATAATCTGTTTGAAGAGTTTCAGTCAGGGTTTAGAGCTCATCATAGCACAGAAACAGCACTAGTAAAAGTCACTAATGATATTCTCATGGCCTCAGACAATGGACTTGTGTCTACACTGGTCCTGTTAGACCTCAGTGCTGCATTTGATACAGTTGATCACAATATTTTACTACAGAGGCTTGAATATGATATTGGGATTACAGGAACAGCTCTAAAATGGTTTGAATCACATCTACCTGATAGATTCCAGTTTGTAAATGTAAATAATAAATCTTCTTCATACACCAAAGTTAGTCATGGAGTTCCTCAGGGCTCAGTGCTTGGGCTAATACTCTGTCCATTAAACCCAATGAATCCAATCAGCTACTTAGACTACAAGCATGTCTTAAAGACATAAAAACCTGGATGACCCTAAATTTTCTCCTGTTGAACAGACAAAACTGAGGTTTTGGTTTTTGGACCTGAGCACCTTAGGAATGAATGTTTCAGTCTTTCTCCCTCCTTAGATGCATTAATCTGTCCTCCAGCTCTAATGTTAAAAATCTTGGTGTTATTTTTGATCAGGACATGTCTTTTATCCCCCACATTAAAAACGTTACTAGAACCACCTTCTTCCACCTGCGTAATATCACTAACATTAGAAACATCTGATCTAAAAATGATGCAGAAAAACTGGTCCATGCATTTGTCACGTCTAGACTGGACTATTGCAATGGTTTATTATCTGGGTGTCCAAATACTTCTTTAAAACGTCTTCAGTTGATCCAAAATGCTGCTGCCAGAGTCTTAACTGGAGTTACTGGGAGAGATCATCTCTCTCCAGTTTTAGTTTCTCTCCATTGGCTCCCTGTCAAATCCAGAATAGAATTCAAAAACCTACTTCTAACCTACAAAGCTCTCAACAACCTAGCTCCATCTTATATTACAGATCTTATTGTTCCATATATTCCTAACAGAGCACTTCGCTCTCAGGCTGCAGGTTTACTTGTGGTTCCTAGAGTTTACAAAAACAGAATGGGAGGTAGATCTTCCAGTTATCAGGCTCCTCTCTTGTGGAACCAACTTCCAGTTTCTGTCCATGAGACTGACACATTATCCAGTTTTAAAACTAGGCTTAAGACTTTCCTCTTTGATAAATCCTATAGTTAGGGTTGGCTTGGGTTTCCTGAGCTGTCCCTTAGTTATGCTGCTATAGACTTAGACTGCTGGAGGACAAACTGACCACACTTTTCACTCTGCTACTGTCTTTACTTACTCTGCTCAACCTGTTTTGTATTTGTAATTATTTTTTCTATCCTTAACGTGTGTTTTTGTCTTTCAGACACACCTGGACCTATACCTGGACCTACCATTCTGTGTTCGTCTGTCTCTCCTTCCTGTCCTCTCAAACCAGCCGGTCAAAGCAGATGGTCTCTTGTCCTGATCCTGGTTCTGCTGGAGGTTTCTTCCTTTTAAAAGGGAGTTTTTCTTTCCACTGTGCTTGCTCAGGATGGGAGACTGTGATGAAGCCAAGATTCAACTTGTCTGCTGGATTCCTTAGAGAACTTTACTAACTGGCTTTTATGTGAATGTTCCTGTAAAGTCCCTGAGACAACTTTGTTGTGATTTGGCGCTATATTAATAAACTGAATTTAAGTTTGTCTTCTAGAAAATGCAACACACAGAACTAGAGAGAAAAGTACTGAGTTCACAGCTTTTATTCAAAAAGAGTTTATTTACAAGGTTGAATATGTACAGGCTTATTTACACAGGAGGGGCAATAATCTTCTATCAGCACTCACACTCAATAAAAAACATCCCAGACACAACAAATCTAACTGGATCACACACGGGCCTTCAGTTTGTGGGCTCTGTATGATCAGTCTGCAGAGTCCATTCAGACGTTGTCTTCATACATGTCATGTGTGAAAGAAGAGGGTCTGTGTGTCCACACAGCAAACTGGAACCATCCCCATTTCCACTGAATTCACAGAATGCTGTTTTTATTAAGAACAATGAGAATGTGCTGAATACTGAATCATCAGCACCAACCTTGTTCTTAAATGACCAAAAATAAACCTGATCTGATTTTTTTCATTCAGATGACAACAAACAGGTTTTTATTATTTTGATATCCTGGTTGATTATTAGCTCTTTGGTTCGTTTCACAAATCTGCACTTTTTGTGTAAAGTTAGTAAAACGTGAATAAGACCTGAACGGGTCAATAGTTGCTAAATCCCATTTGAATGACCTTCACAACGCAGCCAAGCAGCCTGCAAAGAGTTTTCTCTGAACGCTGCCTTTGGCTGCTCGATGCCAAACAGAACAAGTCGGGTCAGTGGGTTGAGAAACATGAAGGTGTTTGCACAAACACAGTAATCAGTAGCTGTGACAGACGCCTGGGGCTGACGTAGAGCAAGCTGCAGTTGAACAACAAGGTTAGTGTATATCTCTAAACCTGGTTAACATGCGTGCATAAACACATTCTCTTCCTTTCCTGACAGAGGTAGAAAATAAACCTTGATACGATGTAGACTCAAAGCTCTCAGAAGAGTTTGGTTCAGAAAACTTCAGTGAAAGACCACCTGACCGACGCACGAATGAGTCTGAAAGTAAAGTGAGAAGTGAACAGACGGTGTGTTCAGGTGTGGGCTGGTTAGCTGCGACTTCTTTTACAACCTCTCAAATACACACGCGCAGGGGCGGAGCCAGTTTCTGTCCTTCAGTCAGAATCACTGCTGCTGCTGGACGAATCTGTGGACATGGCCTCCACGTCGTCCTCGTTCTCCTTGTTGTGACCCGGTGGCTCCAAGCCAAAGTCGTTGCCATGGTGAGGGGGCAGCATCCCTACAGAGACATCTGAGGACTGCCAGGGGTAGTGAGGCGCCAGGACGTCTGCAAAGACAGAACAGAAGACGGTCTCTATCGGATATGTCATGGCTGAGTTTCTTCATGGGTGACCATCTTTTGTCCATTTGCATTCCTCAAAAAAGAAGCTATGTCTATTCATTAGCTACAAAAAACAATGTGTGTTTGAAAATCAGGCAAAGTTATTCTATGACTATTCCTGAAAACACAGCTTATACAGATTTTCACACTTGGTGCATTAATCTGAATCCAAGCGTTTGCTGAACCACGTCTTCAAATTAATTTCAACAATATCTGCAGTGACTGTATGAATATTTACGAGCAGCAGATTTTAACATACATGTGAGCACAATCTGAAGCCACACAGCGTTGTCACTAAAACTTCTGGTTTCTGTTTCTTACCCGGTAACCTTCCTGCAGCCAGAGCGTCACTTGGTAGATGTTCGTTCACACCATTGGAAGGCAGGTTGGCCATGTGGCCGAGCATCCCACTGCGCATTTCCAGGTCGGTGGGATAAGGCCTGCGCTGATCGCCTGAAAGCAACGTTTGTGTGAACAGTTGAAGTCAAGCCTGGCTTTAGTGCAGCTGCTGCAGAGACTCTGCTCCATACCTGGTACCCAGTTGAGCGGAGCACACACAGCATTACTGGCACTGATTCTGTGAGCATATTTGATGATTTCCTCTGATGAGATACTTCCTGCAAAAAGAAACAAACCAGCTTGAACTTCTGAAGAGCCAGCCACATACAAAACCCAATCTGCTCGGATAAAAAGGGTTGCTCACCTTTCCTGGCCTTTTCAATGGTTTTAAGTTTTTCTTTCGCCTGGTAAACAGCAGTGGCCTTAAAAAGGGAAATTAGAAGGATTATAAAACAAATTTACATTTAACTCATGTGTAAGAAATCCTCCCAGGCTTTTATCAACACAACACTTAAAGAAGCATGGCGTCTCTGTCTTTGGTGACTTTAGTCAGCACACACCTCAGGTTGGTCATTATAACAAAACAAGCTGCATCAGCACTTATTTTAATTAATCATGAAACCAAAGACACTTTTGTAGAAAGCAATGTGTCAGATTGTGTGAACAGATTGTGACTGAAAACTATAGAAGTTAAACACCAGGTTTCAAAAGCTAACTTAGAAGAATTAAAACTCTGCAATCTGTACTCACATTCTAACTCCTCAGTATTTTGATTTTAAAACGGTTCTGACAATCTCTTGCTGCTCATATGAAAGTTATCTGTGGTGTTAAGGAAACGCCTCGGGTCTTAGGATTCTCAAACATTTGCACCTCAGTAACAACAAGTCTGAGCGTACTTCACTCAAAGTCACAGAAGGAGAAAAGCTTCTGGAAGCAGCTTCAGCCCACCAGAATGTGCTCAGCCTCCTTCAGCTGTTTCTGAAGCTGCTGGATGTCGCTGTCTCTTTTCTCCACCTCCTTCTCCAGCAGCTGCATCTCCTGCTGAACCTCCCCCTGCTTCTGGGCCACCCCCATCAGCTCCTGGAACTCCTTGTCCCTCTGCACGAGCAGCTCCACAATCTAAGCAGTTTAAAATGAATCACAACAAGGTTCATTTCTGACCTCTACACGCAAAGAGCAGTGAATGAAGAAGCATTCATTAAAGGGAGCTCCTCGCATGAAGGAGCTCCTCGCAGGAAGGAGCTCCTCGCAGGAAGGAGCAGTGCATGAGGTGTTACCTGCGAGTCCTCTCCAGGCTGAGGAAGTTTCTGAGCTCTGGATAAAGCCAACATCTCGATGAGCTCCCTGCAGTGACACGAACAATGACATGTAAACACGTAGGCAGAACAGTTCACGGGGTTCATTTAGCAGTTAAACATGTTACAGCTTTTAAACAGCCTGGACACAATGGCACGCATACTTCAGTCTCACAAAATGTCTTTTTTTGACTCGGCTTTGAGACAATCGGTGCTGGTTCTTCCCAGTTCAGTATATTTTTCAATATAAACAGTATCAAAGTTAAAAACAATAAAAAAAATTACAATCGAGACACAAAACATGTTTAACTTTACCGGGATAAAACCTCCAAATCGTCCAACACACACAGCAGCCGCTCTTTCGTTGATCTTTCTGGCACTGCCGCCATGTTTCGGTTCCTTCGACGTTGCCAGACCGGATGTTACGTCACAACTTAAAAAAAATCTTTATTGATAATAAAACTGTTGACAAAACAGCACTATAGAACAAAATGAACAAAACAATAACGCCAGGGGGTTATAAAGTGAGCACAAATATATATATACATATATATATATATATATATATACATACACATATTAAAAAAAAAGTTAAGTCACAAAAATGTTAAAGTGAGAACACATTTCAGTTGTTTTAATGGCTTTACTATTGTTTGAATACTGAAGTGTTCTAATATATTGTTTGAATTCCTCTATAAAGACCAATAAAAAAGGTTTCTGATTTGAGAATTTAGACTTATGTATATGACATTTTACAACTAATAAAATTAGGTTGATGATATAATAATGGTTTGTTTTATCCTGATGCATGCTCAATAACCCAGGTAGAAAAATCCAAAAATGGTTTGTTTTATTAATTCATCCATCCATCCATCCATCCATCCATCCATCCATTTTCTTCTGCTTATCCGGGGTCGGGTCGCGGGGGTAGCAGCCTAAGTAGGGAGGCCCAGACTTCCCTCTCCCCAGCCACTTGGGCCAGCTCTTCCGAGAGAATCCCGAGGTGTTCCCAAGCCAGCCGAGACACATAGTCCCTCCAGCGTGTCCTGGGTCTTCCTCTGGGCCTCCTTCCGGTGGGACGTGTCCGGAACACCTCACCAGGGAGGCGTCCAGAAGACATCCTAAACAGATGCCCAAGCCACCTCAACTGGCTCCTCTCGACGTGGAGAAGCAGCAGCTCTACTCTGAGTCCCTCCTGGATGATCAAGCTTCTCACCCTGTCTCTAAGGGAGAGCCCAGACACCCTGCGGAGAAAACTCATTTCGGCCGCTTGTATCCGAGATCTCATTCTTTCGGTCACAACCCAAAGCTCATGACCATAGATGAGGGTAGGAACGTAGATCGATCGGTAAATTGAGAGCTTCGCCTTTTGACTCAGCTCTCTCTTCACCACGACAGACCTGTACAGCGCCCGCTTCACTGCAGACGCTGCACCTATCCGCCTATTGATGTCACGCTCCATTTTTCCCTCATTCGTGAACAAGACCCCAAGATACTTGAACTCCTCCACTTGGGGTAGGACCTCCTCCCTGACCCAGAGAGGGCACTCTACCCTTTTCCGTCTCAAGACCATGGCCTCGGATTTGGAGGAACTGATCTTCATCCCGGCCGCGTCGCATTCGGCTGCGAACCGCTCAGCAAAAGCTGTAGATCACGATCTGATGAAGCCAATAAGACCACATCATCTGCAAAAAGCAGAGACGCAATCCTAAGGCCACCAAAACGGATCCCCTCAACACCTTGGCTGCGCCTAGAAATTCTGTTCATAAAAGTTATGAACAGAATCGGTGACAAAGGGCAACCTTGGCGGAGTCCAACTCTCACCGGGAACAAGCCCAACTTACTGCCGGCGATGCGGACCAGGCTCTGACACCGGTCATACAGGGACCTAACAGCCAATATCAAAGGGCCCGGTACCCCATACTCCCAGAGTACCCCCCACAGGGTCCCCTGAGGGACGCGGTCGAACGCCTTCTCCAAGTCCACAAAGCACATGTAGACCGGTTGGGCAAACTCCCACGCACCCTCCAAGACCCTGCTGAGAGTGTAAAGCTGGTCCAGTGTTCCACGGCCAGGACGAAAACCGCACTGCTCCTTCTGAATCCGAGGTTCGACTATCCGACGGACCCTCCTCTCCAGAACCCCCGAATAGACCTTACCAGGGAGGCTTAAGAGCGTGATTCCCCTGTAGTTGGAACACACTCTACGGTCCCCCTTTTTGAATAGGGGGACCACCACCCCGGTCTGCCAATCCAGGGGAACTTCCCCCGATGTCCACGCAATATTGCAGAGTCGCGTAAGCCAACACAACCCTACAACATCCAGAGCCTTAAGGAACTCCGGGCGAATCTCATCCACCCCTTGCGCCCTGCCACCGAGGAGCTTTTTAACCACCTTGGTGACCTCAGCACCAGAGATTGGAGGGCCCGACCCAGAGTCCCCAGGCTTCGCTTCCTCAGTGGAAGACGTGCCGGTGGGATTGAGGAGGTCTTTATAGTATTCCGCCCACCGACCCACTACATCCCGAGTTGAGGTCAGCAGCACACCACTCCCACTATAAACAGTGTTGGTGGCGTACCACTTTCCCCCCCTGAGACGCTGGATGGTGGACCAGAATCGTCTCGAAGCTGTGCGGAAGTCGTTCTCCATGGCCTCTCCGAACTCCTCCCATGCCCGAGTTTTTGCCTCAGCGACCACCCGAGCCGCATGTCGCCTGGACTGCCGGTACCCATCAGCTGCTTCCGGGGTCCCACAGGCCAAAAAGGCCCAATAGGACTCCTTCTTCAGCCTGACAGCATCCCTCACCGATAGTGTTCACCATCCGGTTCGAGGGTTGCCGCCGCGACAGGCACTGACAACCTTGCGGCCGCAGTTCCGGTAAGCCGCCTCGACAATAGAGGCAAGAAACATGGTCCACTCAGACTCAATGTCCCCCACCTCCCTCGGAACATGTTCGAAGTTCTCCTGGAGGTGGGAGTTAAAACTCCGTCTCAAAGGAGACTCTGCCAGACGTTCCCAGCAAACCCTCACAATATGTTTGGGTCTGCCAGGTCTGACCGGCATCCTCCCCCACCATCGGAGCCAACTCACCACCAGGTAGTTATCAGTGGACAGCTCCGCCCCCTCTTCACCCGAGTGTCCACACCACTCTGGTTCAGATCAGGGGGGCTGTTCCTCCCAATCACACCCCTCCAGGTCTCACTGTCATTGCCCACATGAGCATTGAAGTCCCCCATCAGAATAAGGGAGTCCCCAGGAGGTGCACTTTCCAGTACCCCCTACAAGGACTCCAGAAAGGGCGGATAATCTGAACTGCCGTTTGGTGCATAAGCACAAACGACAGTCAGAACCTGTCCCCCCACACGTAGGCGGAGGGAGGCCACCCTCTCATTCACTGGGGTGAACCCCAACACACCGGCACCAAGTTGGGGGGCAATAAGTATGCCCACTCCTGCTTGGCGCCTCTCACCAGGGGCAACTTCAGAGTGGAAGAGTGTCCAGCCCCTCTCAAGGAAACTGGTTCCACAGCCAGAGCCATGCGTAGACGTGAGTCCGACTATTTCTAGCCAGAACCTCTCAGCCTCACACACCAGCTCAGGCTCCTTCCCCACCAGTGAGGTGACATTCCACGTCCCAATAGCCAGCTTCTGTAGCCGAGGATCAGACCGCCAGTGTCCCCGCCCTCGGCCACCACCCATCCCACATTGCACCCGACCCCTTTGGCCCCTCCCACAGGTGGTGAGCCCATGGGAAGGGGGACCCACGTCTCCTCTTCGGGCTGTGCCCGGCCGAGCTCCATGGGTAAAAGCCCGGCCACCAGGCGCTCGCCCGCGTGCCCCACCTCCAGGCCTGGCTTCAGAGTGGGGCCCCGGTGACCCACATCTGGGCAAGGGAACATTAGGTCCATTTATTTGTCTCATCATCGGGGTCTTTGGGCTGCACTTTGTCTGGTCCCTCACCTAGGACCTGTCTGCCATGGGTGATCCTACTAGGGGCATAAAGCCCCTGACAGCATAGCTCCTAGGATCATTGGGACACTCAAACCCCTCCACCACGGTAAGGTGGCAGCCCAGGGAGGGGTTTATTAATTCAATTCAATTCAATTCAAAAGTACTTTATTAATCCCAAAGGGAAATTATTTGTTGCTGTAACTTGTTATCCTCATTTCATTAAGAGATGTTATAGATACTGATGGCTGTAGACAGGAAGGATCTCTTGTAAAGGTCCATCCCACAGTGGATCCTAAGAAACTGGCTGCAGGTGCCGTCCGATCCGTCCACCCAGACTCAGCTGGCCTCTCGGTTCCCCTGGGCTGTAGGACCGCCTGAATGCCGGGCAGAACTCCTCCCAGAGCGATGGCCACTCCTCCCAGCAGTCTGTTGAGCTCCTCGTCACTGCGGACAGTCAACTGTAGGTGCCGAGGGACGATCCTGTCCTTCTGCTGTCATGAGTCGTGTTTCCTGCTAGTTCCAGGATCTCTGTGGTTAGGCACTCGAGCACAGCTGGCAGGTAGATGAGAATGCGTCCACAGAACATCCTTTTCAACTCATTTGAGATTTGGGGCTGTAGTCCTTGTTGCCATGGTTACGCATCCTAACAAATGTCCAAAACTAAAAAAGTTTCAGTAAAAATCCTTCCAGCTACACAGCATCTGATACCAGAGGAAACAATCATCCAAAAGAAATGTGATTTACATCCAGAAAAAGAGGAATTGAAGTTTCCAAAAGGAAAAATCTCAGAATGAAAGTAACAGAGCTGCTCCAACATGCAGCCACCTTGAGTGGCACAATTCTAGAACTTTTAGTGGGATTAGTGGGTTAAGAGAAGAATCCAAACAACACGTCTTCATAAGTAATGGAAAAGTCTTCAAGAATATTTTGGGCAATAAGTATCTTGCCAGACAGTACATAAGGAAGGACATGACCAGAATAAATGACAGAGATCTTCTTCACAGAGTTGCAGAATGAGCAGCTCATGTCAATGTCCTTTTTGTATCGTTGAAGGGAAGACTTGCAGGGATAAAAACGATGGATAATCTTAAAGGATACTTCTTCGATTTTATTAATAATCAAATATTTAGATGGAAGACACAGATTTTTTTTCCATATCAGGTCTGATGCAAAGTTATTGCAATAAGAGACAACAGAGACCATGTCCTTCTGGAATAAGACACGTATGTCACGGTTGTTTTTTCTCTTTTTAGTGGAAAAACAGATTTGATCAATTCTAGAGTCAGCAGGTTCAAACATGGTGGAGTCAGTAGAGAAGTTATAGAGGACTTAAGAAGCATTATAACACCAGACGGGATAGCATCAAAACCAAACGTGTTTTCCTTTGGTGGTATAGAAATGCCAAATTGCTTAGAAGTTCAGAATACGACATTAAAACACAACCAGGATTAAATAGCTGCTGAACTAAGATGATTCCATGTTCAAATCAATTTTCCAAGAATAAATATTTACGTTTGTATAAAATGTCTCCATTGTTCTAAATATAACATGGGGTGAGAAATTGTGCTTATAAATTAAAGTCCAGGAAAGAAGCACTTGTTTATGGAAATTAGAAAGTTTTATGGGGAGTTTTTCAATGTTGTAGTTGCAAAAAAGAGCAAAATCAAGGCCACAAAGTTTTGAGAATAAATAATTAGGTTTAAAATTCCAGACTGAGGACGAGGTCATCAAGACTGATTTTCTGGATTCTTCCATGCAGATCTCTACAGCATTTTATCAATGACATCACTTGTTTACAGAAAGAGACAACGCTGGATAAGTTCAGCGGGCGATGCCTCCTGCTTTAGTTAACTGAATTCTTCCTCTAATTGACAAATCTCCTTGACGCCAAGAATTCAGGTCTTTTCTTGCACATTTCTTATAATGGGGTCAAAGTTCAGAGCACATCTAGTGTTTTGATCCTTGTTGATCGTTGTGCCGAGACAGGTCTTTAACAGGAATATTATGAATGGAGGACGACGTCACAACTTGTTTTCTTCTTAACCCGCTCGCTGTTGTCCGTCATCTAATGGCGACAAAGAGTTCCTACACATTTTATTTTTGTAATTTCAGTGCTAGTTTGTAGTTTTTAGCTGCTTAATTCTAATTTATCAATCACTGCTATAGATTAGCAATGTTCTTGCAATATTTTATAATAGAGATTGAAACACTGCAGTTTAAATAACTTTTAAATGTTTATGTTTCATACACTACAGCTGCAAAACATCTGGTCTTCACTGAGTCTGGCCCTTCCTTCTTTACCCTCGTCCATTTTAAAGCATCTAACAGAAATGTGAACATTTCTATTACAATATAAATACTTATTTATTTTGACGTTTCTGCCAAATTTGGAACTTTCTGTGAAACAAAACCAAACGTGCAATTTATTATTTTGAATCTCACATCATCTCTCACAACTGATTTAAACTATTCCCTCACATTTTTTACATGTTATATTGACTTTAATCCTCTGAAAGTTTTTGTCTTTTTTCACAAGCAAATAAAATGGATACTAAAGCTGCTTCAGCAACACGGTCAGTACAGTAAGTTTTCACACTCATAAACACTTACAGAAATGTTTACATGACTCAAATAAAACCTGGAGTCTGCTTGAAGTTTTATTTGGAGTGAAATGTATTTGTCCTGCCATCAGAGGGCAACGTTTGCCCTTCAGTCTGACTCCTGTTAGTTCCTGTTTCACCAAAGCACAAAGGGTTTCTCTGAAATATGACAGGAAGTGACTCAGCTGAGCTGTTACTTTTGGATAGCCGGGGAACTACACACTGTTGTACTCTGTTAGAGCATGTTCGCTTGTTCTAAGAGGAAAACATCCATCCATCCATCCATCCATCCATCATCTTTACCCGCTTCTTCCTTTTTGGGGTACGGGGGTCACCGGTGCCCATGTCCAGCCATCACTGTGCGAGGGGCAGGGGACACCCTGGACAGGTCTCCAGTCCATCCCAGGGACACATAATAGAGACAAACAACCATTCACGCTCTGTAAGGGGGCAGCACGGTGGCACAACTGGTAGAGCTGCTGCCTCTCAGCGAGAAGGTTGCCAGTTCAAATCCTGGTCTGGGGGCCTTTCTGGGTGGAGTTTGCATGTTCTCTCCGTGCATGCATGAGTTTCCTGTGGGTACTCCAATTTTCTCCCACAGACCAAATGCATGTTAGGCTGATTGGTAACTCTAAATTGTCCCTAGGTGAGAGAGTGAATGGTTGTTTGTCTCGGTTGTCTCTATGTGTCCCTGTGATGGACTGAAGACCTGTCCAGGGTGTCCCCTGCTTCTCACAGTGACTGCTGGACATGGGCACCGGCGACTCCCGTGACCAAAAAGGAAGAAGCGGGTAAAGATAATGGATGGATGGAACTGTAAGGTCGCCGGTTCGACCCCCCAGACTGATAAAATCAAAATGTAAGTGTGAAAGGTTAATCCACCCACATCTGTCTCCACCCTCCTTTACCCCACTCTGGGCCCTTGAGCAAGGCCCTTAACCACCACCATCTCCTCCCCTGGGCACCCCACACAGCAGCTCTCCGCTCCACACAGAGGCTGCGGCAGCTCGGTGCTCTGTGGTTGCGTCAGGAAGAACATCCAACTTAAAATAATTGTCAAGTCTTTGTACGAGTTAGTTCATTGTTCTGACCCCTGAAGAACCCTTAACAAAAAGTAGTACATTTCAAGTTCAGTTTTGCAAGTCTACTTTAAGTTAAGTATAAGTATATCAAGTATACTACACACCATACTTGTAGTGTACTAGAAAGTATACTGATTTAATACTTGTTTGGACTAAATTGGGACATTTTTTATACTATTTTTAAGTATATCAAATAAAGTTTATAAAAAGTAAACTTCAAGTACACTTCCTCATTTTTAGTGTAAAATAAGTATACTTGTAGTGCACTTAAATAAACTACTTTTTGCTAAGTGAAGGGAGCATCAATAGAAAAGTCCTGATGGAAGCTCAATCATTGATCAGCCCATTTCTCTGTCCAAGAGACTACAATGACTTCTTCAGATGTTTCAAAAACATGAGCTGAAAGTCTAGACTAGATATATAGAGCGTTAGAGTTGTCGTGACTACTGCAGTACTTTCACACATTTTTAATGTCAGAAGAACAGTTGATCTTTCGGCAAGAAAAAAGTTCAAAGTGTTTGTGCTTTTATTTTGATAGTCGAGCGGAAGTCGTGTTGCGCGGTGTGGTTTCTTTTCCTGGTGGATTGTTGTCACAACAATCGATACTTGGGTCGGTTCGGAGCGACGTGTCTCGGCTTCTTCTCCACTTGTCCTTGTCTGAGTGTGGCACGAGCTGGTTCCAGGATGGTTAAAGTGTCGTTCAACGCAGCTTTGGCCCAGAAGGACGTAAAGAAAGACGCAGAGAGTCTGATCCCGGAGGACAAGGTGAGCAAAAATGGCTCCGAGCTCAACGTCATCCGAGCTTTGAACTCTGCTTGAAGAAGCTGAAATCAATAGTTAATGTGTCGTGCAACACTTACTTCTCTTAGCCCAACTTTAAGTTGTTCACTATTTCATAAACTTTCCGTCCTAGCAGCTTTGGTCGTGTTTTAAGTTTTTAACGTCTTCCTCGTTTTGCTGATTCCGCTCGTTTCTCCTGAGCTTCGAGTCTGTAAAACAACATTTAAGACGTTACAATTTACATCCTGTACTTTCGTTACATTTTACATCCTGTACTTTCGTTACATTTTATATCCTGTACTTTAGTTACATTTTATTTCCTGTACTTTCGTTACATTTTATATCCTGTACTTTAGTTACATTTTATATCCTGTACTTTTAGTTACATTTTATATCCTGTACTTTTAGTTACATTTTATATCCTGTACTTTAGTTACATTTTATATCCTGTACTTTCGTTACATTTTACATCCTGTACTTTCGTTACATTTTATATCCTGTACTTTAGTTACATTTTATTTCCTGTACTTTCGTTACATTTTATATCCTGTACTTTAGTTACATTTTATATCCTGTACTTTTAGTTACATTTTATATCCT